TTTTAATATATTTTAATATATTTTAACATGTTTTAATATATTTTAATATATTTTAATATATTTTAATATATTTTAACATGTTTTAATATATTTTAATATATTTTAACATGTTTTAATATATTTTAATATATATTAACATGTTTTAATATTTTTTAGTATATTTTAATACTTTATAATATATTTTAAATGCATAAAATCCACTGTCTAATAATAAAAGTTGAACGTGAATATTGATTAACACTCTAATTGTTATTTGACTACCTAATTCCTGACAGTTAATTTTCTATGCTTGTTCCACTAAGATATATAGAAAGGATTGCATTAAAAAATATGTTGGAAAACGTTCATAAATAATATTACGGACGATCCCGAACACATACCGATTTGTATTTTTGTGAAAGAAGTTCGACTATTCGTTTAACCAAGTTCTCTAAATTATTCGTAAATTTCTCTTTAGGGCTGAAATTAGATTGATTCTTTCAAACATTAATTAAGATCATTTTCTCGACTAGAACATTTGATAAAACATTCGGAGTGTCTAGCTCGTGGGATGAAATTATGCATGACATTATCCACGTACCCAAATTAACCATAGAAAATTTGAAAGGGACAAATAGCTTCGAGCTGACCGAATAGAAAATGTTCGCGCTTTCGATACTAAAACGATATTACATTTATTGCTGCCTCGTCATTCGTATCACAGCTTCGTTACCGCATTATCTAGGAAGAATCTTCCTTCCCTAAGATAGAAGATCCATGTTTCAACGACTCGCAACATATTCCTCCATGTTGCAAGGCGACGTTGCAAAGCGTGACGCTTCCGATGCTAACGAGATGACCGAGCATGGCATGTCGATCATTAATAACCGCTGCAAAAATCATCCGCGATGGGTTCCCATAGACGAATTACCATATTACGGCCAACGACCACACGACTCTTAGAACCGAACAAAAATAAAGAGAAAGCCGGACGAGGAATAAAAAAAAGATCAGCATGGTGCCCGAGGTCCTGATGATCGATTAACTTCGTACCCGTCGCGAAACAGGAAGGGACCAGCGGTGTTAATTGCCAAGGTTCGCGTATCCTCGCGTGTACTTCCTCCCCCGCCTCCCTTCTTCGCTCTATCCGTGGTTTATTTGGTCGTCGAGCTTTCACCGTTCAACGGGAAGATTTGTTCCCCGATCTCTCCGAGCTGCTCGCCGGGAACATTCGTTTCGTGTTCCGACTTCGAAGATTGGATAACCGAGTTTAATTGACTAACCAGGATCGTCCGGATCCTGCCGATTGGTTCGTCGACGGATTTTCTGAGAGACCGGGATAAAATTTTCTTTACGGGAACAACGTGGCAATATAAGTTTTACGATTAAGCACTTCGCGCTTCGATTTCTTTCGCAGCTACGTTGGTCGGCGCTTCGTCGTCGTTAATCATTGTTCTGCGAGAACGAGACAGTGTTTTATTCCTTTTGGATGCCTCCATTTATTTTCGTTTCTAAATTTTGATAACGAGCCGTTAATTGCGTTCGGAACTGGAACTTCGAAAATGTCGAGCGGTTATATTTTTATTATATTATTATTTCTTTTATTATAATATTATTATAAATATTATTTCGAAATTATTTATAAATATAATTTACAAATAAAATTCGGTCAAAATCGTGTCCACGAACAAATTTATTATAATACGTTCGAGTAACATGGAGTTAGACTTGTGTTAACTATGTTTGAACTATGAAGATGTTTTGTCTTGTCTTGTCTTGAAATCTAGTTGTTCAGTAGACTTAAAATTTTGAGAGACTCTTCAGTAAGATCTTCCAATATCATATATTTGAAAAACTTTCGAGGAAATAATTTTAATGTCGTTCTCGTAGCAAAAATGTAGGCCACCGGCGTCACAAATTCATGTTTCAAAACAAATTCATTTTCGTTCCATGAATTAATTATAAATGATTTGTATCATTTCACATTTTTTAATAAAATTATACGTATACATTATGATCATAATGTTCTTTTAATGGGATCTTGTTACGTTCAACGAAATGCAGCCACGAATATTATTCCTGGGATTTTATACATTTGTAACAAGAACGAATGGATCAAATACGAAACGGTAAAAACATTGAATAACATAAAAATGTATGATTTTCAACTCGTTAAAATGTTTCAAAGAACGAAATCAATGTTTATGTATATTCTACATCATCCAATTAATGCAGAAAATGTTTATTTCTTTTTGTTCGATGCGATTGGATCGATGTATCGAAGTTTTATTAATGAACGGAGAGAGAGAGAGATAGAGAGAGAGAGAGAGAGAGAGAGAGAGAAAGAGAGAGATAAAAATCTTGTTTTTATTTTTATAGATTTTGTGTCTTCTTATATATCATGTGGTTATCCATGGTTTAATACTACTATGGTCCTAATACTCTTTAATATCTTGAATAACATTAAATATTAAATTAGTATTAATTAGAAATAAATAATAGAACAGAATATAATTCTAATCTCTATAATTAATTTAGTATTATTATTATTATTATTATTATTAATCTATATAATAGAAATAGAATAATATTAAATTACTTCTCGTGACACTTTCCAAAGATCATCGTCGCACTCGACAAAATGAATATTACCACCATAGACCTTCTTTCGCGCGATGATCCGCCGATTTTCGGCCGCAAGAACTAGTTCGAGATTTCTTCGAGCGACGAGAGATCCGCAACACTCACGTGTCGTTCTTTTTTCTTGTCCCCAGGTCGCGGAGATCCTAGGGGAATCGGTTGCGCCGAGGGACCTGTTGGTAAGTACATAATTTGCTGAATCCTATTAAAACGACACCCGCTTGTGAAACTCGCGGGAAAAACTCCGGCGGACGACATGCATCAGCCTTTTTCCTCGTCCGGGTTGCGTGCGACGCCGCCGCCGCCGCCGCCGCAGGAAAAAACGTAACTGTAATCTGTCGATGACTCGCGCAGTAATTAACTTTCACGTACGGGGAGGGAAAAAAAATTGAAGACAAGGCCGGGGCCCACGTTCGTTGATCGACTCGGCCGCGGCGGCACGCGGGGCTATTAGAAGAATTGTTTGCCGAACGTGATTTTTATTCAATTACCGTGTTTTGTGCTCGCCGGGCACCTATCCGGAGAATCCGTTCGAATGGAATTAGATAATTATCGTAAATTGAGCCATATCGCGCTGCTGTTCGTTCGATGCTCGCCAAGGAAGCTATAATTGTCAGACCGTGGAATTTTGTGCGCGCGTCTTCTCAGATTCTTCTGGACGAATTAGGAGTAGCTGAAATTGCGTGGTATTTTTCTCCCGAATAAACGAAGAAGTGAAATAAACAAGTAATATTATTGAATAAAGAGAAATGAAGGAAATATGGACTAGTGATGATAGAAGTATAATAAAAACAAATATCACGTTTCTTATTAATCAATATAATTTGTTCGAATCAAAATGCCAAAAAGTCGATGTCTTTTATGAACATTCAATCTAAGCATTCAAAATAACAAGAACGATTTACTTTATACAAAGTAAAAGACCATTTATTTATTTATTAAATTATATTTAAGACGACTGGAATTAAATAAAAATAAGTTGTTTCTTTGAATAATTTTGATAAGTTCAAAATGTCATTGATAGTATTATTAATGGTATTATTAACAGTATTATTAACAGAATTATTAATAGTATTATTAACAGTATTATTTTAATACTATTATCAACAGAATTATTAACAGTATTATTAACAGAATTATTAATAGTATTATTTTAATACTATTATTAACAGAATTATTAATACTATTAATAACAGAATTATTAATAGTATTATTAACAGAATTATTAATAGTATTATTTTAATACTATTATTAACAGAATTATTAATACTATTAATAACAGAATTATTAATAGTATTATTAACAGAATTATTAATAGTATTATTTTAATACTATTATTAACAGAATTATTAATAGTATTATTAGCAGTATTATTTTATTACTATTATTAACAAAATTATTAATAGTATTATTAACAGTATCATTCTAATACTATTATCAACAGAATTATTAATAGTATTATCAACAGTATTATTAATAGTATTACAAGCAACGATCTTATTAAATTCTTTTTCTGTCTCCCTAATTTCAGTCACTAACTTTCGCCACAAATGCATGAAATCCGCAGCCTAATCGTCACTTTAATTTTTGACGTCGTTACAAAGTGCCGGTCCGTAACAAAAAGAATATCGTTCCCGATTCAAAGATTTGACTTTCACGGTCGACGATGTCTAGCAAGGTCGAATGAAAAATGCTGCGATCCTACCCGCGGGATATCCGATAACTTTCCCGAGTAGGCGTCCCTTGTCCTTCATATTTTCCGCCGATATCTGCCCGGGGAGATTAAAATGTATATATTTTCACGATCTGGGAAATTGTAGCGGGCCGCGGGACCCCGGCGGAACCCTTATCAAAAACTACCGTCGGACCGGCTTTGAAGCTCCTCATCCCTTAAAAACGTTCAATATCCAAGCCCCGTGGAATTTATGCCGGTTGCTAAAGTCCAGCCCCCTCCGTGTTTCGCGGCGAATTCCGTGCGGGAGAAAATCGCCTGTGGAGAACGGTACGAAGTTCCATTCAGGTCCCTCCGGCTTGTAATCCACTTAGAAGTTTTCCCTTTCTTAGGAATCGGCCGCGGGTCCCCGGGGCGCCGGCAAATAGAATTCTTCTTTACGCGAGCCGCCGGATGCCGGCTCGATTGCTGGCTGTTCCGCGCGTACCACGCGTATCGCTGCAAATATTAGATGGTTCTTCTGATAGCTTTCCGGAGACAACTCTGTCTTTGGGTGCTACGGGTACACGGCGACCCTCCGGAGAAGGGTTGCCATCGGCGGGCCACACGAGTTTCGAACGCGAGAAGGGTTCGGTATTCGCAGCACGCTGTCTCCGAGCCCCTGCGAGCCACCTCCCTCGACGGTAGTTTACCCCCGGAGAGGTTACTTCCACCTATTTCTCCACGTATTCATACGAGTTCCGAGGACACGAGATCGACGGGTCGGAGGGCGAACGAACGTCGTACGTTTCGCCGGGAACGCCACGCGTCGAGGAAATTTCGTGTTCCATCTGCTGGCTCGGCTTCTTTTCTGCTTTGCACGGGGTGGGCGGGCAAGTTATGGTCATCCTGTTATAGGTTTTATCAACATTTGTTAAGGAGACCTTGTGACAACGTTGTTCGCAGTATGCTGGTCGGGTTTCATAGGGGGGTTGAAATTGTGGAATTTGTTTTTGTGTTGTTCCTTGTCTGTGCCATAAATAATGTATCATCGTCGGAACTTATTTGTATGCTCCAGGAACAATATAAACATTGATGTCGTTGTTTAATCATTTTTGTGGGATGGAAATAATGCGGCGGTATTTTTATATTTTTCGATGTGTTTTCTTTTTTATAAATACGACTTGTTATTGTGCATAAATTCGTAAAAATCGCGGCACAGGATATGGGATATTATAATGTTATAAAATGAAAATATGATGTCAAGAATATTGTGATATTATAAAATCAAAATAGGATGTCAACGAGAATATTATAAATTATAAAATCAAAATAGGCTGTCAACAAATATATTGTAACATTATAAAATCAAGGTAGGATGTCAACAAGAATATTATAATACTTTAATATCAAATCAGGCTGTCAACAAGAATATTACAACATTATAAAATCAAAGTAGGATGTCAACAAGAATATTATAAATTATAAAATCAAAATAGGATGTTAACAAGAATATTATAATATTATAAAATCAAAATAGAATATCAATAAGAATATCGCGATATTATAAAATCAAAATAGAATATCAATAAGAATATCGCGATATTATAAAATCAAAATAGAATATCAATAAGAATATCGCGATATTATAAAATCAAAATAGAATATCAATAAGAATATCGCGATATTATAAAATCAAAATAGAATATCAATAAGAATATCGCGATATTATAAAATCAAAATAGAATATCAATAAGAATATCGCGATATTATAAAATCAAAATAGAATATCAATAAGAATATCGCGATATTATAAAATCAAAATAGAATATCAATAAGAATATCGCGATATTATAAAATCAAAATAGAATATCAATAAGAATATCGCGATATTATAAAATCAAAATAGAATATCAATAAGAATATCGCGATATTATAAAATCAAAATAGAATATCAATAAGAATATCGCGATATTATAAAATCAAAATAGAATATCAATAAGAATATCGCGATATTATAAAATCAAAATAGAATATCAATAAGAATATCGCGATATTATAAAATCAAAATAGAATATCAATAAGAATATCGCGATATTATAAAATCAAAATAGAATATCAATAAGAATATCGCGATATTATAAAATCAAAATAGAATATCAATAAGAATATCGCGATATTATAAAATCAAAATAGAATATCAATAAGAATATCGCGATATTATAAAATCAAAATAGAATATCAATAAGAATATCGCGATATTATAAAATCAAAATAGAATATCAATAAGAATATCGCGATATTATAAAATCAAAATAGAATATCAATAAGAATATCGCGATATTATAAAATCAAAATAGAATATCAATAAGAATATCGCGATATTATAAAATCAAAATAGAATATCAATAAGAATATCGCGATATTATAAAATCAAAATAGAATATCAATAAGAATATCGCGATATTATAAAATCAAAATAGAATATCAATAAGAATATCGCGATATTATAAAATCAAAATAGAATATCAATAAGAATATCGCGATATTATAAAATCAAAATAGAATATCAATAAGAATATCGCGATATTATAAAATCAAAATAGAATATCAATAAGAATATCGCGATATTATAAAATCAAAATAGAATATCAATAAGAATATCGCGATATTATAAAATCAAAATAGAATATCAATAAGAATATCGCGATATTATAAAATCAAAATAGAATATCAATAAGAATATCGCGATATTATAAAATCAAAATAGAATATCAATAAGAATATCGCGATATTATAAAATCAAAATAGAATATCAATAAGAATATCGCGATATTATAAAATCAAAATAGAATATCAATAAGAATATCGCGATATTATAAAATCAAAATAGAATATCAATAAGAATATCGCGATATTATAAAATCAAAATAGAATATCAATAAGAATATCGCGATATTATAAAATCAAAATAGAATATCAATAAGAATATCGCGATATTATAAAATCAAAATAGAATATCAATAAGAATATCGCGATATTATAAAATCAAAATAGAATATCAATAAGAATATCGCGATATTATAAAATCAAAATAGAATATCAATAAGAATATCGCGATATTATAAAATCAAAATAGAATATCAATAAGAATATCGCGATATTATAAAATCAAAATAGAATATCAATAAGAATATCGCGATATTATAAAATCAAAATAGAATATCAATAAGAATATCGCGATATTATAAAATCAAAATAGAATATCAATAAGAATATCGCGATATTATAAAATCAAAATAGAATATCAATAAGAATATCGCGATATTATAAAATCAAAATAGAATATCAATAAGAATATCGCGATATTATAAAATCAAAATATTATGTCAACAAGTATATTATAAAATTAAAATGCAACTCAGGTTTCCACGGACAATGGAATATTACGTTCTAGAATTTGATGAATGAAACCCACTGCTCTCCAAACGTGTAACAATAATTTTCTATCGCAAATAGCAATTACTT